GCTACTGGTACCATTTTTACTCTTATTTCTCCTTTTGTATTTTCTGCCTTCACATGCACAGTTTTAACATGGATTTGGAATATACTTTTATGAACTATTTAGTTTATTTCAGTTCAGATGATACCTGTGCAATTGGAAAAGTCTTATTACTAAAGCAGTTTCTTCTGGAAGTGATAATGCATATGTGTGCCCTTCAGACGGAGGCATGCTATGAGTCTTGTACACCGCGTGCCTATCCTGTGTCCTTAAGAGCCACCTAAAAGAAGCACCAGTCTGTTAACCTTATTAACTGAACATAGTCTCAAGTTAGCCAAACAAATCTCACATCATAAAGCAGAAGTGAGGGACCTTGGGTTCTAGAAGGATCCTTTGTAATATGCACACCATTCTTTAGGAGGCATTTCTGTAGCCAAAATCCAAAGCTCAAGACCTTCAATACTATTGGCAAAAAGCTACAAGCCGGTGGACATTGAATAAACTGATGAATAGCCACTTGTAATTTTTTTTTTTTAATCAACTGATGCACTGGTAAAATACCCGCCTGGTTTACCCTAGGTTTGTTTTTTTATGACTAGATGGTAAAACGATGTCTGTCTTGGTCACAGTTACTGGGCCTGGTGTGGTACCTAGCTCAGTTTGCTCCTGATCACGTCCCCGGTGTGAATGCATAGCTCCCTTGGGGCTCTCACCTGTGATCATGCCTAGAGCTCTAATGACAACGTACACAGTGAGTAAAGGGGGTGCATTTGGGCACTCAGCCAAAGCCCTGTTGTGTCTCCTCAGAAGCACTGTGTCCTTTTCCTTCAGAGCATTTCCCCAAATTGGAATGTTCGCTCTTGCTCTTCAGGGTTTATACATCCTCCCTCCCTCTTGAATAGTAGCAGGACAAACAATTCAGCAGTTTTTATTCAGAATGACTGAATACAGTAAAAGATTTAGACTAAAGTATATCAGATGTTGGCTATCTGGGGCTTCTTTCTAGAGAAAAAAAAAAGACACACTTCTGCCTTAAACAGTGCTCAGTACAGTTACGTAGATAAACCATACGCGTAAAGAGAAAAACGGTCATGAATGTATACAAATGTTACAGAGTCATCAAGATGAACACTTAAGATTAGTGCACTTGATACACTTGACGTGTTTTATACCTTGACTTCTAAAAAGGGAGTAAGTCACAGTATAAGGGAGTAGCCCATGCTAATCAAATCATGAACGTTAACTACACGGAGAATGGAATCAGTGCCCGTAGTGGTTAGAACTGGCTTCTTGCGGGAGGTAAGAGTTGAATCTGGGGCTTCAAAGAAAAGAAGTGGGAATTACACGAAGGTAGGAGAGGCCCAAAGCCATATGGAGATTTGAAAGGAGCGGAGGGTTTGTTCGATGTCAAGACGTCAAAAAGAGTGAAGAGGTTGGACAGATTGGGAAGGGCTTGGAGGCCAGGTTGAAAATGTGAACTTTACCCTGAGGAAGGAAGCAGGAGCATGAACATTGGAAAACTGTATAATCCCAGTGAAGCAAGACAGAGCCTAGAGCAGGGTGGCAGGAAAAATGGAGAGGAAAGGTGTTCCACAAACTTTGACATGCACAGGGGTCACTGAGTCCCCGGGGGTACTGCGGGTCAGAAGCACCAGGGGATATGGCTCAGCTGCAAATCCTCATCCCCAAGGTCTGCAGGTGCTGCTTCTGGTCTGAGGACCCCCCTTGTAAGCAGCACGGATCTTAACCTGCCGTGCGTCAGAACTGCCTGGTACCTTGTCACTGGGTGCGTAATATTTTTCTCCTCCACAGTTTTATATCATGTACATTAGCACAGGAAGTAAATTTCAGTAACACACTGAGAGAGGTTTCTTACTAACCTTTGACAGTTCCAGCTTGCTACATTTTCACAAACAAAACAATTACGGATACTTTTTAATTACATTTAGTTGGTGCTTTTTCTCAGATCTCATCGTTTAAAGGTATTTAACAGAAATGTTTTTCATCTTTTCATGAAAGTCACAGAACACTGTGACTTTTGAGTCATTTTAGTGGGATAGCAGACAGCAGATGAGAAATAAACAATGAACTGCTATTTTGTGCCAGTATCAAGCAGAAGGGGGATCTAAAGGACATGAAAATGTTTCTGCAAACATGAATATCCTCAGCTGTAGCAGGAAGTAATGGGAAAAAAAATCAAAGTAAATTGCTTTTTAACTACTCTTTTGTAGAGTCCATATCACTATCGTGACTTTTTTTAAGTATAGTTTGGTACTGTCTTGCAACTCTGTAAAGTGAGTGAACCGTCTCCAAGGTTGATTCTTAAATCTGATTAATTTTTCCACTAAAAAGGCAGTAGCATATTTAAGAAGACAATTTTACTAACCCTTTAAAATGTAGTCTTACTAAATTTTGTGTATGATTTAGAAGACCCTTTTAAAACTCATCTCTCTATAGAGACTATCTTAGGACCTCCAATTTGAAGCACTTCTAAAACATGCTGGAAAATACACTGATTGAACCAAAGACTAAGGCAAAAGGCTGGCAGAAATCTACTACTATAGATTTCTCTTTCATTCCTTTATGCCTTAGAGGGTCTTTCAAAGAACTGGGGGACACATTCACATTCGGGGGAGGGATTTTCACATTTTATTTTCATTGCACAAATTTGAAATGCATGAACTCACAATACCATTCAGCATCAGGAACGATGCAGAAGGGACTCTTGGAAATGTTCATTGATGCCTCTCGGATCTCACTTAGATCGTTAACTATCAGAGCCGGAAGGAACTTCGAATATCCATCCTGGAGATTAGGGATGGGTACAAACTTGACATCTTTCCCTTTGTCATTGGCATCTCTGAACCGCTTATTTTTAATAGCGTTCTGTAAGGTACTCCCACAGCTTCCTTTGGAAGGCAGTCTTTAATCACATCTATCAAGAACTTTTGATGTATTTTTTTAACCACATTTCATTGTTTCTACTTATACTAGTTATTACCATCTGAATCAATTCACCCACCTACCTCCACCCTGTTTGCATCCTGTTTGAAATTGGTTGCTTCCTAAACTCTAACTATAGCCAAAGGCTCCATATTTAGTTTAATTTTCTAGCCCCTTTATTCGGAGATGATTGGTTTCTGTATCACATGTTCAGTATTATATGTCTCCTGCCAAGAGGACAGACCATCTCTGTAATCATTTAGTGTAGGCCAGTGTGAGGGAGGCAGCTCGTCTTCCCACCAGACCCACCTGGTTGTCTGGGCTACAAACCAGAGCCCCCTTTCCAGGAGCTGAAAACTCACTCCGTCACAGAGTGAGTTTCTGCCCTTTTCCTGCTAAATGGTCAGGAACTCACTGTGTACTTTGGAGGTGCTCTCCACTCTGCCAAATTCAAGGCCAGCAGGGACTGAGCCAAAACGACACTATGGCTCTCAAACCAGGCCTCAAGCAAGCCCGGCCTCCAACGTTTCCCCAGCTCCCAAGGGGCCCCCTCCTGTGGCTCTCGCAGGGTTGTCTGCACTCTGTCCAAACTCCTCCCCCTCGGGAACTAGCTCTGCCCCCAGCCAATTCACCCACCTTCTGGTAGGCACATGGCAGCACCTCCCGGGGCTCGTGGTCCCCACTCCAGAGAGGCCCCAGGCGGATCACGGCCCCTTTGGCTTCTCTGCAACCTTGCCACCAGCCCCTAGTTCTGCAGTCCTCCAGGAGCTGATGACTCTGACAACGCCCATGGCAGGTGGTGCTGCCACAGACCCTCCCACCACCACCATACCTGACATGACCTCATTCCTGATGCTGTCCTCCTACACTTCCGGTCTCTGACAGGAAATCCCTACCGCCAGTCGACCCACTCTCGCCCCTTCCAACAGTCGGCTTTTGGCCGAGGCCAGGGCCGCCTCTGTTGCAGCTCTAAGGGAAGCCTTGGGTGTGGAGCTGCTGGCCCTTGTGCACAAGGGTGCCTGGGCAAAGGGCCGCCAAAATGTCGCCCCAGCACCAGGCCACCATCCTGCACCACTGGGAGCTATCTCTAGCTCCCCAGGAGGAAGGAGATACAATGGCCAAGGGAATTAAGTGATCTTAATGTGTCTTTGGCCTCCCTCTTGCCCATGCTGGAAGCATCTCTCAGGCCTGCCGTGCAGGCTGGCAGAGGGAGCATGTGGAGATGGGGGTGGGGGGTGACACCTGTCCTGCACTGTGCAAATGCCCACAAGCATTAGACCATTCGAGGAAGGCCTAATGCTCTATCACTTTACTTCAGTAAAGGAACCCAAACCATGCTGAGTTGGACAGGCAAGGAAGTCGGCCGTGTCCCTTTAGTCTGGGGCACGTTCACCCTCCCCGGAGCTGGAGCCTCACCCACAGCCGGGAGACCAGGGGCCACTCAAACCCCTCCTTTCCCTACATGTTCTCCTTCCCTTTGAAGCCCCTGCTGCCCCCTCTGTCTCCAGAAGGATTCCTTGCTCAGCAGCTAACCAGTCTCCATGTCTTCCTGTGTCTTGACAGTCTCCATGGTGTCCATTATGGGCTGGGCCTCTCAGCCACCTGCTCACTTACCTCTTTCAGCTGCTGGTGGAGGAAGGGAGCAGACGTTCATTCATCGAACAAAGATGCGGGGACCAGGCCTGTACTAGGTGCTGGGGATACCTGGACCAACAAGACTGAGACACGCCCTGTGGGTCTTGCATTTTGGAGGAAGAAATAGATAATAAATGTAAAACAAATAAATGGGAATCGTGTCAGGCTGTGGTAGATGCCACGTAGAAAAATAAAGCAAGGTTGGCGTGGAAATTTTAGCTAATATGGGCAGGCGGCCTCTCTCTGAGGAGGGGGAGCATGTGCCCATGGGGCCCCTCGCATCCACGTCTTCTTCCACGTGCAGATACAACGTGATTTTTTTTCCCTTCACTCCCCCACCTGCCCCTGCCCTCCCGTGCCTCTGTGACTGTCCCATCCCCTAGACCCACTGCCCAGGAGAAAGCCACCCAAGAACACTTCTGAGCATGTACTGGCTTTCTTTTCAGCTTCCTGGAGAGAATTGACAGTGTCAGTTTGGTGGACTACACACCCACAGACCAGGTACGTGAAGCCGGAGCCCGCAGTCACCTGCTTGAACTTGGCGAGATTAGAGGAACTGTCAGTATTATTCACTGATGGTTTGTAAATGGATTAAGGGGCGAAATCCATAAAACAGCTACTTCCTGCAATTGTGTCCACTGTCCCTGCATGTGCACAGGGTATATTTACCATACCCTGTGATTCGGCGCCTGACTTAGCTCTCTAAAATTTACTAGATTTCTAACCTGCCAATATCGAAACAATTTTATCTGTGGGATAGCAGCGTGCAATTCCCATTGCTCTTGGAGCTGTCCACAGCAAGCTCAACCTTGCTTCTCCAGCTTCGTCCACTATGCCCATTCTACTTTGGGCCCTGGGCTGGGTCACGTATACAGGCACACTCTCCAGGTGTGACTCAGAGTGTGGTCTTTGGGTTAAGCTGGATGAACGTGCCCCACTGCCCATTTGTAAGTAGCAGGGAGGGAGCTTCCGTGCCCCCTGGAACCTTTGGCCATCAGGCATCTACAGAGACTCTGATCACTCTGAATTGCTCAGCTTAGGAGCCCCCCAGATACCTCAGGAGCTAGTGAACTCCAAGGAAGCTGGGGGGCCTCCATTCGAACTGCCCCTCTGAGACTCCCCCAGCATCTGTGTCCCCTGGAGGGCCTTGGCTGTGGGCCCTTCCTGGCGGCTCTCTTCTCTGCCTCCCTTCCCCTTCTCTTCTCTCCCCTCCCCTGGAGGCCTGAGCTCCTCTCTCCCCTGAAATCCACAACTCCGTGAGGCTGACCCCAAGAGCTCAAAATTACCCGACAGAGCAATCAAGCCTTTGATTTCTCACCCATCGGTGTGCACCCACAGCAGGTGGCTCTCCAGGAAGGCGCAGCAGCAGAGCGCCACCAGGACCCCGTGTCAGCTGCACCTGTGACAGGATGCCCTGGGACCCCCACAGAAGTGATTTAAAAAAAAAATCCTAAAGAAAATAAAAGCACAGCTATTAAGTCTCTAAGACCAAACCAGCACATTAATTGTGACTTTCTGCTTGGTGGGGGCGGGAGGGGGCGGAGGGAGCATTTGTGTGGGGGCGGCAGGGGGTGGGAGCAGAGCGTTTGTCTGACTTTTTAAGTATCATTGTCTCTCTCACAGTTGGAAGAAATGGTTATTTGAAAAACTTGGTTACTGTGGTTGCGGTTGCGTTCAGGGCTTTCCTTCTGAAGAACAGTGATGCCACTTGGTTTGTCTTCTTGTTCTCAGGATCTTCTCAGATGCAGGGTCCTGACATCAGGGATTTTCGAGACCCGATTCCAAGTGGACAAAGTAAACTTTCAGTAAGTGGTTGAGAGCAAGCCTGCCGGAGATGGGGGGCCGGACGCCCCCCTGGCTGCCTGCTGGGGCCTAATGGGGTCAGGGAGTCCGGCCTTCCTACCATGGGCTGGGCCCTGGGGCTTCAGTCATCCCAACTGTGCCTCACTACCCTTCTGGATAAGTCCATACAGACTCTGTGGCCCTAAAGGGCATGCAGTTAAGTGTAGGGCAGGGAGGAAGGTGGGAGCCAGGGCCACCTGAGTAGGTGAAGACTATCCAGAGCAGCTGTCCAGGCAGGGGGATGCCCCCTGAGGGCTGCCCTGAGCGGAGGGGCCTGAGCCGGCTTGGTGACTGCACGGTGAGGCCTGTGATCCCAAGAAACAACGGGGTGTGGACTCCCGGGCCCGGCAATGGTGCAGAACCTCAGAGTGTGCGGAGCCGTTTGCCGAGGCCACACAGGGAGCAGTGCCACGGGCCCGGAGCCACGGCAGAGGAGGGACACAGAGGGAGTCTCGCCTCAAATGATCATGCCCTGATGTTCCTCCACAGCATGTTTGACGTCGGCGGCCAGAGGGACGAGAGAAGAAAATGGATCCAGTGCTTTAATGGTGATTGCTATGCTTTCTCAAGAATAGGGATGAATTCTCACACTCACTCCTGCTACTGTGCTTCAGTAGCTTTGAATTAGACCATCCATTACGTGCCTTAAATGTGAATCTCATCAGGAATCGAGGCATCCCAGCTTTACATTTAACATTGGCTCATGGGGTACATTACTGAAACACACAGTGCCTCTTTAAGTCATTCTCATAATCCCGGGGTGAAAATGAGTAGCAGTTGGATGTGGACCTTATTACCACGCAGTGGCTCTCTGTCTAACAGAGGCGCTTCTCTTTGTCTCTCTTCTCCCATGAAGACGTCACGGCTATCATTTATGTCGCCGCCTGCAGCAGCTACAACATGGTGATTCGGGAGGATAACAACACCAACAGGCTCAGAGAGTCCCTGGACCTCTTCGAAAGCATCTGGAACAACAGGTGATAAAAATAAGAAATTTGGGGGGCGCCTGAGTGGCTCAGTCAGTTAAGCCTCTGCCTTCGGCTTAGGTCATGATCCCAGGGTCCTGGGATCAAGCTCCGCATTGCACTCCCTGCTCAGCGGGAAGCCTGCTTCTCCCTCTCCCGCTCCCCCTGCTTGTGTTCCCTCTCAGGCTGTGTCTCTCTCTGTCAAATAAATAAAATCTAAAAAAAAAAAAAGAAAGAAAGAAGGAAATTCAGTTGCACCTCTGGAAATTGCAAATTTTCTTTCATGAAAAATACCACTCAGCTCACTTTCATTATTATTCTCCAGATATATTTTCTTTCCATGCTGATAAATCCAGAACCGTCAGCAGGATCTTTTTTGGTCCATCTCATGTATAGACACACTTAATATGGGGAGTATTCTTTGATGACACTCTGACAGTGCTTTGTCAAGAAAATTCAAATACCTGTTTTGAAAGATCAAGATTATAGCTAGAGTTTAAAACTGATTTGGTTTGGTTTTTGAAACTTAGAAAGTACCATCCACAAATAACTAGATAATCTCTAGAAGATCCCTTACAGGTCAAAATCACAGCATAATCATGTTTGAAACTGCTACTGTTGCAAAGGGTGATTATTTTAGAAAGGAATACCCACCAAACACACACATACACAATACACACATAGATATTAAAAATCAAAGTATCTTCTGAACTATTTAAGAAGAAATATCACCAAGGAGGACAGGAAGCATTAAGCTGAACTTGCAAAACATTTGGTTTATCAGAGAAGTTTTTCTCTATCAAAAGTGTTCAGCAACTGTTCTCAGTGGAACAGTATTAAGACAACGAGAAAGAAAAAGAGTCAGGAAATACTGGATATACGGAAGAACACTTTGGAGTCATTAAAAATTTTTATATATATAAATATATATATGTTATATATAATATTTACACATATTATATATATTTATATATATATGTAAACACACACAGTCACATGAGAAAATGACCACAATATTGTTAAACGAAAAAGCAGATTTAAAAACACCATGATCTTGTTTTTATAACTATGTCTGAGGATAGGAAAAAACCTGGAAGTAAAAACATAACAGTGCTAATAGTTGCCTCTAATAGTAATTACATTTGATTTTTTTCTATGATTAATTTTTCTATAATTAAAAAATCATTTTTACCAGGATTGGCTATTTTATAACAAGGAACAGTAAAGCTATTTCCATTTGGAGGAAGAATGGATTGTTTCTACTTCATAGTAAGATTCCTGTACACTAATCATCAGCCTGATTCCTTTGAAATAATAGAATTTACAAAGGCTTTGCTCATGCACATACTGAGTTCATCTTAAGCCCGTGCTCTGTGTCTGTTTAATAAAACAGAGAGAACCTTCCCCATCCTTCACCGTCACTGTACCTGAGCCCCTCCCCTTAGCTTGTCCAATGCCGTGGCCTTGACCAAAGTCTTAACATCCTGCTCCACCTCTGGAGAACCTCAGCCTGCTCAGACTCAGCACAGGAAGAGCCAAACCAGTTACAAATTACATTCTTTGTGATCAGCTAATGACTCATGTGTTTTGTTGTTGTTATTGACGCTCTAACGTCTGGTTTTCCCACCCTTTATTAATAAACTGCAGCGCAAAAATGCAGGTGTATTTATTCCATAAATAAACCTTAGCTTTGGTGCCAAGAAATTTACATTCCCAGGAAAGATGAATTCGAAAATACTGAACTGCTAAATCAACTATCTCTATTTATTTTTTATAAGGTTTACTTATTATAAGAACGTCTTACTTGCAGCTGGAGCAAGGGTCCACGAGATTTGGTGTATCACATAATTCTAAATCCTGTACATTTCAGGAAGATGGCATTGTTGTTCTTTTTCAGCAAGTAACTCCTACGTTACAGGTACTTTCACGTACTAGTGGATGTGAACTTGGTACGTTTATTTCTCTTTTCAGGTGGTTACGGACCATTTCTATCATCTTGTTCTTGAACAAACAGGATATGCTGGCAGAAAAAGTCTTGGCAGGGAAATCAAAAATTGAAGATTATTTCCCAGAGTATGCAAATTATACTGTTCCTGAAGATGGTAAGATTTCAAAACTAGTTTTTCCTAAGGAAAAGGATTGATTGCTTTTTTTAAATAGCCCTGTTACTATAGTTCAAACAGTTCTGACGATTTTTAGGGAATTCCAACTAATTTGAATCAATCCTCTGGACTACTGCCCCACCTTAAAGTACGAGCATATTAAAATGTCTTATTTCGGATTCCATGTGTAAGAATGTCAAGGTTTGACTTCAAACTGTTTAGGAGAAGACAGGGCACTTTTGGGGGTCATTGGCTGAATTAAGTTCTGTCTCTTGGTGCCTTGGTTGGGTCTGTCATGAACTGGGCACTGTGTCAGCCGACCTTGACTCTCACTGTAACCCTAGAAATGACCCTTTCTGTTATTTGCCTGTTTTCCTGTGGAAAGTGAGCTGAGAGAGGTAGTCAGTTGTTCAAGGTCACTCAGGTAGAGCCTGCCAGGACAGGTAGCCTCTGAACCTTCATGCCCAAGCCCACGCTTTCAGCCACCACATCCACCTCTCTTGTCCCCAGCGATGACTTTGGCCACCACCAGGGTGGCCAACCACCTGCAGGGTTCAGGCACTGGGTGGGGGCCTCTCAGTGCTAGATTCCAGAAGACCCCACCCCGGGCAGACCCCGGTTCCCACTGCTGCTCCTCAGTTCTCATAGAAGGGATTTATTTGCGTGAAATGATACCACTTCTTAAAATTTGAACCCCCAGCTAGATAAAGCAGAATGAAAGGGACTTTCCTAGAAACTCAGGGAAACTCAGGTAAGAAGTGGTTCATGGTGATCTTCGGGCTAACCTCGGCCAGCCTGGTGGCCAGTCACCTAACTATGAGAAGTCAGCAGAGCTGGCGCTGCCCTCTCATCCCTGGACTATGGCCGCCGGCCAACCGGGCCTTCTTTCTTCTCCTGGTAGCCAGGCCCCCCGTGCCCCACACCGTGGACAGTCAACACTCAGGCGTCCACTGTGCTCTCCCTTCTTTCCGTCCTCTCTGTCTTGGTCCTGGCCCTCGTTCGCCTCTTCTCAGCTCTGGATCTGGTCAAGACAACGTCCTGCCCAGACTCCCTTACTCTGCTCATTCAACTTTCCAGAACATTCTCTGAATTTCTGCCAAATTCTTTCTGAAACACAGCCACAGTCCTACTTATGATCCCTACCAACACGGACTTAATCTCACCACAAGCTGAGACCAAACCTGGCCTGCCCAGGGAATATTACAAGCTAGGTTCCCCACCACAACCCTCCGTGGATCCTGTGCTCCGCCCACACACACATTCAGTGGATCCTGTGCTCCTCCCACACACACCCTCTGTGGATCCTGTGCTTCCCCCCAACACACATTCAGTGGATCCTGTTCTTCTACCCCTATCCTCAGTGGATCCTGGGCTCCCCCGACACATACATTCAGTGGATCCTGTTCTACCCCCATCCTCAGTGGATCCTGTGCTCCTTCCGCACACACCCTCCATGGATCCTGTGCTCTTGCCACACACACATTCTGTGGATCCTGGGCTCCCCCCCCACACCCTCCGTGGCTCCTG